AGCACAGAGGGTAGGGCATTTGCCTTGTACGCAGCCAACCTGGGTTCAATTCCTCCACCCCTCTCATCCTGGCAAGCTACCGAGAGTATCTCGCCCACACGGCAAAGCCTGGCAAGCTACCCGTGACGTATTCGATATGCCAAAAACAGTAACAACAAGCCTCACAATTTGTTGTGAGACATTAGTGGTGCTTGCTGGAGCAAATCGATGAACAACAGGAGGACAGTACTAAAGTGCTACATTTTCTACCAATAACACCTGTAGTTTATATGAAAATCAACAAGAGATACCATGGATCTATATCCATGTATTAATTCATTTGATTCCAAATCTTCCTTACAGCTAATTGTGGGAGAGTGGCTTAAGCAATACCCAGATCTGACAGGGCTCACTCCTGGCTCTTTGCTCTGGGGTCACCTTGGTGGTTCTCAGGAGATCATATGTAGAGCCAGGGACTGAACCAGGGTCAGTAGTCTGCAAGACAAGTTCCTTATCCCTTACTATCTCTCTGGCCTCTCCCTACTATTATTACCAATTTACAGATGTGAAAACAAGTTCTCAAAAATGTGGAGACATTTTAAAGTGGGTTATATAGCTACTCAACAGAGAGACAGTATTCAAACTGAGTAGTTTGGCCACATGACAGTAAAAACTGTAAGCAATACTGGCTCTCAAAAATATATATAGTATACTTTCATATTATTCAAGATAAATTTATCTCATCCAATAGATATTCTCCAGCATTCAGCAATCTGATTCTCAGAATTAACATTTCCATGGACCTGTAATAGTTGTATATGTTCTAAAAATTAAATAACATCTCCTATATTTATTCTTGAATAGAGGACAAAAGGATATATACGATATGAGGATATACATCTTTAAATGTTTGAGTAAAATATTTTGGAAAATGTTTTTATTGCTCTTCTCATATTGACTAATTTAAAAGACTGCTACATTAATGTAGCATGTTAGTGATAAATGGACAAACCAGCCTCACACTAACCAACACAGGGAAATCTGCCTGTTATAATGTTTACCACTTGTGCAGATATAAACTACCACTGCAAATTGCTTTATGATGCATGTTTCCCATCATCATTTAACTCGCCCTGGGGACACTTCTCTTGAAGCCTTTTTAAGTGGTGTTTTTTTGTCTTCTCTTTTATTCAGTATCATCTTTTCTTCAATTGGATCTGTTAGTGGGGAGTTCTTATTACTCCTAACTCTACCTCTCTACCCTCTTTCTAATTTAGGGTTGAGATGACATGCAACTGTTAATAAACACCTGTAGCCATTTTATACAAATACGCATGTTCCCTCTTTCCAATTGCATGTCATTACTACCTGAAACCATTATGAGGCCCATTTTCCTGAAAGACAATGTTCCAAATAGTACTCAGAATATTATTAAAGTAGTATTTATGCCAAACACGAAAGTGACAGCGGAACCTTGCCATCCATGTGTATGTATTTATGCCGGGCACCCCTTCCATGTGCCTGATGAAGGCAAGGTTCAAATTCAAGAGTGCTATGGAGAGCCTTCAAATGTTGAAACCAGGAAAGGCAACGGGAGATCTTTTTGATATGATGACCACATACTCATTCTGCCATCTTCACAAGTCATAGATCTAATTTCCTTCAATAAATAAAATCATATCAAGCTCATCTTCTCTTAAATGATTTTCTTGGGTGGTTCTCAAATTCATTCCACCCCCTTGACGAGTCTCCCTTGCAGTTTTTGGCCCTCACCTTTTGTTCCCTCTTTTCTTCTCTTCTTTCTATCTGCTCTATTTTACTGTGTTTATTATGATTTAAATAGATAACTTTCGAACACCACCTATAAAATTCTTATAAAATCCATATTAATTTTAACAAAAATGTATTTGATCAGGAAACCCAATAGTTAAAAAAGTTATCTTAAACTTACGCATCTGTCAAATTGGTTAAGCACATTTTTATATCTATAAGCCATGTGTCTATATATATGTATAAATATCTATATCATATATACATATATATCTCTAGTCATGTATACATATGTATATGTATATATGTGTATATAAATATATAAATGTATATAAGTATGTATATAGATGTATATATATATGTATATAGATATATTAAGAGAGAGAGAAACAGAGAGAGAGAGAGGAAGGGACTAGGCAAATAGTAGAGGAGTCAGGCACAGGCTTTGCAAACTAGATACAAACTTGATAAACCTGGTTTAATCTCTAATAGTGAATGGAAGGCCCTCAAATACCACCAGGTAGAGCCCTGGAGGTCCCAAACACTGCTGGATATGATCATGTGGTTCCTGGTAGTACAGGGGGACCAAGGAACCCCATATCCTCTGGGTTGTAACACTGAACCATCCAACCAGGATATCTAAGTATGTTCAGGGATGGGCCAGCCCCTTGAGTATTTCTTTGAAGTCCCTTCCCACCCTCATAATGCATGCACATGTGTGCTCACGTTCTAAATTGATGCTATCATATCACACTCTGAGTGTCTCCTTTTTCTCTTGTTTCTCACACATACATATACATACACATAAATATACATATTATATACATATATTATGTATTATAGTAGTAGCACTGTCATCCTGTTCATCGATTTTGCTCAAGCGGGCCCAGTAACGTCTCCATTTTGAGACTTGTCGTTACTGTGTTTGGCATATCAAATATATCATGAGTAGCTTGCCAGACTTTGCTGTGCAGGAGAGATACTCTTGGTAGCTTGCCGGGCTCTCCGAGAGGGGCGAAGGAATCAAACCCAGGTCGGACGCGTCAGCCGAATGCAAGGCAAACACCCTACCCGCTGTGTTATACTAAATATATTATAAATATAATTAAAATATTTAAAAAATAGGTAGTGTATGTCTGGACGCAATAGTCAGTATTCTAATATTCTATGCTTTTATTGTGCTATCTGATTACAATGGCTGAGTGAAGACTATCCCTTTGTCTCCAAGACTTCTTCCAGCTTGCAGCTGCCTGCCCTAACATACAAGCCCCGTTCCTTTTCTACAAGATATATTTTGGTGCCCCTACCCTCTGAATTTTCATTCACCATTCATAGTGCTGAGCTCTCTTACAGCTTCTTGTCAACAGAACTTCTAACTTGGCATGCCCAATACACAATTAATCATTCTCCCTTAAAAACCAATCCTTAACACTTCTGTACATCTCACCTTAGTAAGTAGTTCAGATACCTTTCTCAGTGATAAAATCACAACAGGTTAATTTTGTCTATGTTTGTATGTGTGTGTGTGTATGAGTGTGTGTGTTTGTGTGAGAGAGGGAGAGATTGAGAGAGAGAGAGAGAGAGAGATACAGAGACAGACAGAGACAGAGAATGTGTGTATACTGCTTTCTTTCACCTTAAGGGCTAATATTCAGTTATATCTCTGAAAATCTGCATGGTGTCTCCCATTCCACTTTGCTCTCAATTATTTGTTGTTTTATCTTTGCCTCTTAAACTATTGATTTCAAATACACATTGTTTTCTTTATACCTGTATTTTCTACCCTTTTTAAATTTGATTTCATTCACTTGTTTCAAACTAAGTTTTTTGAAATAGGATCATTAAAAAAACAAAAACCCTAATATCTCCATGAAAAATACAGTTCAAGATATCCAGAATAACTTTATTACATCTTCCAAAGCTTATTCTTCCTTCTACCAAATGATCTTACCTCTATATTCTTCTATCCCTTTTTTGGTGAGCCTGTTATATTACATTTTGAAATTCTTTCCCCTAAATACTAACCTGTCTAGAGTTCATCCATCCTGCCTTGCTTTAAAACTTTACTTTCTGTTGAAAGGGGCATCTCGACATTTTTTTATAATATTTTGTGGATACTGTTGTTATAATTATCTGATTACACTTGAATACATTATTTTGATACATGGATACTAATAAGTCATAAAAATTAGTTTCCTGGATATTTGGCGGGGGGAACACTCAGTCTTTCTTGTCCTTTACAGTTTCCTTTTAAAATTTTATTTGAACAATTACATGCCAAGGAAAATTTTGTTATTCTTTGTCTTAAAATATTTAAGTTTTTAGAACATGTGTGAGTTTATAGGAGACATGAGTGTTTTTCTTCTTTAAATTGCTGAAATAAAAATGATGACTATTACCCAAATAGATCAGGATATGTTTGGATTATATGAGTGTCACACCTAAAAATTGTACTCATTTAATTGCTTATGAAATAGGGGCAGTATTTAGAATAGTCTTGACTTTACTATAATTCTTGGTTTCAGTATTGTAACAGAAACTGGATTAGAAGAACAACAAATAACATATGTTATAAGAAACATTCCAATTTTCCAGTAAGAACTAGTCATGCAAGAGAGACCATATAGATTTCACAAGTAATTTTATGCAATGCTTAAAAGACTACAAGATTTCCAGACACGAAGAAACATGAACTACAAGTACAGTCAAATGACTTCAGAAATATTTTAGGGGTGGGGAGGCGGGTGAAAGGAAGAAACTTTCATATGATAGCAACTTGAGATTCTGTGAGATGCTTATAGCAGAAGTTTCTACACAATGGGAACATTAGTAAAATCATTTCTAGTCAACCAGTGTTGCTAAAGCTTTAAAGAACAGAGAGATTAAAATGTGTTTTGCATGGGAAAGTTTTCCCCAGAGTTCCTTATTTTTATATAGGAAATCAATTTGCATCACTGATGATATCATTCAAATCAGACAACCCAAAGTTGTTAGGAGGTAATTTAGTTTTATGCTGAAGCAATTTGATACTTGTTCTGATTTGTGATTTTCATTTTGTTTGCTAATGAAAAAAATTAATGAGCAATGTTACTAGAAATACAACTCATCAAAGCCTAGGCATTATTAAAGAGGTTTGCCATATACTGTACACAGTGATCATTGTGCAGCTGGTGCCTGGACCTCTGCCATCAAGGAGCCTTCGATGTAACAACACAGAAAAGAACTCAGGATATAGAAGCACTTACACATACCTTTGCATTGATTTGTGTTTTTGTCAAGAATTGCCTTTGTAGATACAATTTTTCCATACCTGAGAGAGAAAGAGAAAAAAAGATCAATGTTACTATAGCCCAATGAAGATACTTAAAACATCTTAATGAACATTGGTACACACACAATTGAGCAGCAACAATCCAAGAAAACAAGCTCTGAACTCCCATTTCACACCTGGATGATCCCTTTTCACTGGTTCTTCTTTATAAACTCCAGAATGCGCTTCCCTATGTAATCACTGGGTTGAGGCTTCAAATATAAACCTGTCAGGCTGTCATAGGTGGCTGAAAGGGGATTGCATGTGATTGTGATCAAAGTAAATTGCACTCTGTGGATTCATGGGGAAAAAAAGAGAAAACCAACGCAGACATTGGCGCGAGATTGAACAGGGCTTGTATCCAGCTCTGGCACTTAGTGTTGAAACCCTGAGAAGTTTAACATAACTATTTCCAAGCCAACATTTTTTCATCTATAAAAATAAGAACTATAATACCTTTTAGAATGTGGGAGAGAGTTAAACTAAATGCTGATAGTATCTAACAGTCGTCTAAACATAAATAGGAAAAAATGCTGCTATTAAAACTGTATTACTGTATGATAATTCAGGATAAAGGCTGAGATTTGTATTTTCAAAAGTGGGCATCATAGTTAATAAGAGTTCGATAAATGCTCACTGTGAATCAATGAACCATACAGACTACCCAGTGGTATTTCATCTATAAAAAGTTGTATACTATAAATATCTATACATATTATAAAATACAAATTATTGTATTATATCTTATAGAAGACTTAGTCTGGTTTTGTTTTTGAAAAGATGGGGAATATGAGTAGTGGAACTTAACCTTTTTGAACCACATTTTCTGGACATATAAAATGATGAATTGGAAGGTCACTCAAAGATCCAGGCTTTCTTTAGGACTCTGAGGATGTTCCCAAACCAATATAATAACTAGTAGAATTTGTCATGCAAATTAAAGAACCAAGCTTATGAAAACATCTATTCATATTTGAGTCAAAGTCACAAAATATTTAGTGATTTTGAAAACAATATATTTTTTCCAGTGGTGTTCCTAAGCAAATAAAAATATATGGTATTGAATTGGGAGATAAGAGAATAGTTATATCAACTTCAGCACCTCATGGTCTCCAAAGTATTCCTAAATACAGCCCTAGAGATCCCAAAGAATTTCAGGGTATGACTTTGGAACCCTCTGTGTTCAAGTAGTTCAGCCCTGGTGTCCCAAGCACCGCACAGAGAAAACAGTACCAAATCTTCAGATCCTTGCATTGAATCACTGGCCATATTGTCTGAGCTCAAAATAGCACTGGGGTTCCCTAAAATGTCAGTCCTCGAAAATATGTAAATACTTATGTTGATATTAGAGATTCCATATCTTTATAGTTTCCTTGCCATCAATTGTGCATGTGTATATATGTGCAATCATCTTTCACATTATCAATTATTCTTTGGAGACTTGCCATAGTCTTCAAGTAAAATTCTGGTGTTTATAATGGCATATTACAGTAAATATCTCTGCTTCTTTTTATTTTTTAGCTATTAGAGCCTAAATGGACTGACCTCTAGAAATAGATGAAATTAATGTCATTTTGAAAGTGATTCCACCTATAGCCCTGAAAATAATTCTTAATGGAGCTGTGTTATTGATAGATCACAATAGGATGAGTAACATTTTACATATAATAACATGATGCTGTCTATGATAATTCCCATCAGGCACCTAAAAGTTCCTCCCTTGTTAATGTCAGAGATGGGGCTGATCTGTACAGAACTGAGCAGGTTTTGTCAATATCACACTGAAATGTCAGGTATTTGCATATTTGGTACCATGTTTGTTCCTGAACCCTTATAACTATATCCCAAACTTAACTAAATTAAAACGAGCTACGGCTGAAAGTGCCTGTTACTGTTACTCAGATACAGGAAGTCTGATATGAAAGACCAGAAACTTGACCAAGAAGGGGTTTGAATATAAATTTTGGTTTTTTTTCTACCAATGCCGGTGATGCTCAGGTATTACTCCTGGATCTATGTGCTTAGATTTCACTCCTGGTCATGTTCAGAGAGCCATATATGGTGCTTGAGATCCAAATTGGGATGACAACATGCAAGACAAACACCTTGCCTGCTGTATTAAGTCTCTGGCCTTGAATAAGGTATTTTTATGTTTGTAAGGAAAAGGTAAAGGTAAAGGCCCTCCCATTGATCGTCGATTTGCTCGAGCGGGCCCAGTAATGTCTCCATTGGAGACTTTGTTGTTACTGTGTTTGACATATTGAATACTCTCGGTAGCTTGCCGGGCTCTCCGAGAGGGGCGGAGGAATCGAACTCGGGTCGGCCATGTTGGCCGCTCACACTGTCTTCAAAACACAGAAGTACTCATGGGAAGGGGGGCAGTACTGGCTCGTCCTTCACGCCCTACTGAGGTCGCGAGTTGACCCCCACGAGCAGCTCTCCGGCACGGCCATGGCTCCAGAGGCAAAAGGACCTAGTCCAGAACCCAACAGCTTGCGGCAGAAAAGTGAACGGACCATGCATTAAACTACAGCACCATGACTCCCCAGGAGGGAAAGGCTGTTGCTCCCTTCCACCTTCTCCCCCTTCCCTCCCCCAGCAACAAGGTGGCCACCGCCTCAGAGCTTATTGGAAAACCAGGTATGAGCTGGTGGTGATGGGGTAACTGCAGTCTCATGGGAAAGGGGGGCAGTACTGGCCCCTCATTCACGCCCTACCGAGGTCACCTGTGACCCCCACGAACGGCTCTCTGTCACAGTCATAACACCAGACACACAGAAACCAATCTCATAATTATCTGTCCCTTTGCACGACATTATATGATTCTCATAACCAGCTATAGAAAACAAAGTATTTCACAATGCCTTTTCAGCATTTCTGATTGTTGGCGGGGGGGGGGGGGGGAATTCTAAACAATAATGGCACATTTTTTATCGAAATAATGAATGTAATTAATGTAGAGAAGAGTTAAGTAGAAATCATCTGCCTCACAGGCATTGGGAGGGGTCCGAGGGAGGTATATTGGGGTTCTTGGTGATGAAAAATGAGTACTGGTGAAGGGAAAGATATTTGATCATTGTATGACCAAGACTTAAACCTGAAAGCTTTGTAACTTTTCCCACAGTGATTCAATAAATAAATATAAGAAAGAAAAAAATAAATAAAACTATGAAAAAAAAGTAAGGTGAAGTGCATGCGCAATTCAATCAGCTAATCTGTGGGTGAATAAATAGCAGTATTCCTACATAAAGAAAAAAAACAGAGAAGCACAATCTATCATATCTAATTTAATCCATTTCCTTATCTTTCAGATACAATGGCAGGTTCCAGGGTACATAATATAAATGTCAGATGACTATAGCATGGCAGCAAACTGTCATGCTTGATATCTCAGTTCAGTCAGGGTTGATAAAGTTGTCTGAAGATTAAGTAAGTCTTATGTATTCTTTGCATGATTTATCACATATACTAATACATACATATGCTCATTTAAATTTTATTTTATTTATAATTATATGTATCTATATATACAATGCTCAAGCCACCCCAGTACTGTCTCCATTGGAGACTTTGTTGTTACTGTGTCTGGCATATCGAATCCATCACGGGGGGCTTGCCAGGCTCTGCCATGCGGGCGAGATACTCTCGGTAGCTTGCCGGGCTCTCCGAGAATATAAAATAAAACATATTATTAGTGAATTATGAACACGGCTGGAGCGATAGCACAGTGGGTAAGGTGTTTGCCTTGCATGCGGCCAACCAAGCTGACTGGAGTTTTATTCCTCCGCACCTCTTGGAGAGCCCAGCAAGCTACAGAGAGTTTCTAGCCCACAAGGCAAAGCCTGGCAAGCTCCCTATGATATATTCAGTATGCCAAAAACAGTAACAACAAGTCTCACAATGGCGACATTACTGGTGCCCGCTTGAGCAAATTGATGAACAATGGGAGGATAGTGCTACAGTGCTACAGTGCTACAGGGTGGAAGCAAGGCTTAAATAAGGTTTGCCTAAAGTACTAAGGTAAGTTTTGTATAGAGTAAGTGTTCATTAAATGTTAGATCTTTTCCAATTACAATCATGTTATATAAAAATGTCTTTAGTCCTTGCTATACACTGAACTAGATGAATGGAGCTAAAGATTCTGTTCCAAATGACAGATTAAAACATTACTAGTTAGACTGCCAAAATGTTCCACTAATTTGGCAGGGTAAGTTATTTTCCTCAAAGGATGATTTATATTTAAGGTTTACATTGTTATTGCATGAACTCTCTTCTCACTGTGTTTAGTCACACAAATATCCATTAGTTCAATGATTTTTGTTGTTCTATATTACTAACAAAATGTTTATTACCTCATGTATGATACTATACAAGTTCCTCTTTCAAAATTCCTCATCACATGTTTCTTTTTTTTTTTTTTTTTTTTTGGCAGGGGAGGCAGGAGATACTTCTGACTTCACTCAGGAACTCAGGAATTACTCCTGGCAGTGATGGGAGAACCAAATGAGATGCTGTGGATCGAACCTGGGTCTGCCCCATACAAGGCAAAAACCTTACCCACTCCACTATCACTTAGGCCACTATCACCACATGTTCTGTTCCAAATATGCACCTACAGACTCTTTCTAAGTTCTTTTTTACTCCTAGAGTTAAATTGCCAATAATGTATTCTCATGTCTGAATGGCACCTTTGTTGACTATGGTGAAAAACTACTTAAATTTAACTGAGCTAGATTTGGACTACCTATACAAAGCAATAATTACCAAATTATCTTAGACCAGAAAGCAAAAAGGGCCAGAGTTGTGTATAAACTCCGGGTGGCTAAGGAAGGCCCCAGCGACTTTTTTCCTTGCAGCCCAGGTTGGGTGGTCTTGGGCCGCTTCCCTGCTCCAGAAGATCAATGTTATGGGCAGATGGAGAAGGAAACAAGGTCCATGCTGGTAGATTGATTCCATTCTCCCCATATGCCTGTTTCAACCTCACTAAGCTGCCCATTCTA